CGGTGCGCTCTACATAGTCTCCCTGCAAACAAGACCAAGTTGCGACAACGAGGTCAACCCACTTCTATAAATCGAAAGGAGACTGTTACCATAACAGAGGCCACAACATCTTGGTCTTCATATATTTCTGAATTTCATTCATATTTACTATGTCAATTTGTGTGTTGCTTCATACTTTTATTTGACTCTCACCCGTTGTGTTTCGCCTTGCTTGTCTATCTTCAGTAATCCTTAAGCTGTCGTAGAGAGATCGGTTAGGACAAGAAAAGGATTAATGATATAACCGTTTCGGTATAAAGTTTGGTCAAGGGATTGATTTCGCTTGTCTCGTTGACGAGTTGTAGCCTTGTACTGAAAATGGCAAAACTCAATAACGATGACGGCGAAACGTCTGAGAATGTACCAAGTCCAAGGTCCTATGCTGGAAATTATGATAACTACTATATCAGAGGACTTCGGACAAAGTGCGTCCAACTAAGTCACGCTTGCAACATGATCAAGTTGCTAAAACGAGGTTGGAAATTGTTATCTCCTCCACCCCTCTTCTCCTTTGTGGCCCCTCTGTGTACGAACATTGATCTCTCTTTCACCTACATTATGCTCCTCTGTCGTTTTTGGCCTTTCCAGTCTGAATCTTCTCCTGTTGCTTTTATTGTTCTTTACACGGTACTCCTTTACTCGTTCATACAACACCAGGAATATTCGTAAGCTGACCTCATCGGAATTTGTACGGAGATTGCCGTGGAGCTGGGATTGTAGATTTGTACGAATATGTCCTCGGTGCACCGCCCTGTGACCCCTATGAATCCTTGCAGAATTTTTATCCGTCAGGTGATGGACATCGTCAGAGCAGGACACCATGCTTTACGATAATTCACCAATCACAAAGACAGGAAAAGCTTCCGGCTGCAATCCTGTCTACTTTTTATAGTCTGGCTAGATTAACTTAGTGAGACATCTCCTACATTCTGTTATAATATTAAGTGGCTGCGGATGACATGTGAAGTGGGGTGCGCCGAGAAAATATTTGTACAAATCTACGATCCCAGCTCTACGGCAATCCCCGTACAGCTTTCGGTGAAGCCAACTTCTCTTCCACTCGCCCCCTCAAACGAAATGAAAGGCACACCAAAAATTGCATTGTCTCTTTAATCATCTTATCTTCTCAAATTGTTTTTATGAAACAGTGACACTGGTTGCCATTAAGGCACTCAGCATAATTGCTTCCACTGCATCATTTTGTGTTTCCTTTTTCCTGTATATGTTGATGTTAACCAAATCATTACTACTATCTAATGGCACCAACTATTCATAATCGAAATTATGTGCTCTAAACATTTGCGGTGAGAAAAAAAGTTGTTTTTTTCACTCATTTAACCTATTCTTGTTTTATTATATTACGCGGAAGAATACAAAAATATGAATTTGATGACCTGTCGTGAAGTATTTTTGCTACCGAGCTCAATAACTGGTCAAATAAACTTTTCCTGACTAGAAATTTTTGTTACCCTTATTTCATTTCTGGGGCTGACACTATTTTCAGATCTCATTGAATAATATTTTGATAAATCTCTACCCACTAAAGTATCAATTTCTGTTAAAACGCAGGCGCTCATAGATTTAGTTTATTTTTTGCCTATTATAGATCTCGCCTGACCCAGAGTTCCCGACAGTTTCCTTTCCCAATCCAGAAGAGGGACGCTCTGCACTAAACCTAGCCATTACTCATGCCAATCATTCTGGCTGCTCCATCATATTGGCCAATGACCCAGACGCTGACCGCTTTGCTGTTGCTGAGAAAATTGAGTTTGTTGATTATATAAATGTCTTTACATCATATTTGTCTTATGATAAAACAACTACCTGATCACTATTTGCACATATGTCTACTGCGAATCCAACACCATTTTGATCATCCAACTCCTCAACTACTGAATAAATTTCTTTAATTTTTAATATTCATGGGGCCTGCTTCTTGCGATAATCTGAACATCTTCTAGTGACTATAGCTATTTTTAGCAGACAAAACAGAGATATTTTTTTACTATTGGCTGGCCAGGCCGAATAAGCTATAATAATTTCAGAAATTAGTGAATTTGAGAGAGTTCACCTTTGACTAGCCAGCCTTTACTTGGGAGCCTATCGGAAAATGGAAGAGGAAGACTATTTTGGCCTTGATGAACATAATTAAGTGACTGGAATTAATGTTGGAGTGTAGTTCATTTCGTTTGAAGAGGCGAGCGGAAGGGATTCGTAAGTTGGTTTCACCGGAGGCTGGGGGGGGCTGCCTTGGAGCTGCGGTTTTATATTTGTGTGAACAGGTCCTCGGCGCACCGCCATGCGACCTTGAATCCTTTCTAAGCCTTCGTCTGTCATGTGACCGACATCGTCTAAGTAGGACACCATAACACTAAGACAAGAAAGGTGCCAGGCTTCAAACCTACTTCCTTATAGCCAAATTTGGTCCACTTAGGCATCTCTTGCTTTGTTTAAATGTCCTATGTGTTGCCTATATGCTTACTCATAAGTTAAGTGGCCGCGGATTAAGTGTGAACTGGGTGCAATTGAAAACAAACAACTGCTTATTTCCCTAAACTACCTATGCCTTTGATCCTGCAATGTTACCGCATGTGATTGCTTCCCATTGAACGGGTGTTATGTGAATGCATTATTATTGAAATAAGTGTAATCTGAGAGTTAAAACCAGATTCGAGTCTTATTAAGCCTCTTCCTCTTGGTAAGAGGTACTTATCGTTCCTCCCTCTCTCTAAACCTATCCAGCAGCCGTAAATAGTTTCTGTTTAACTTCTTACACTCATTTCTCCTATTCAGAGTGTTGGCTATTTTATTAATTTCTATCGCCACTAATCTTTCGCCTACCGGTATAGTCTCCATATTCAGCTAAGCGTTTGGCACTAGACCAATCTATCTGGTATCCTGTGCGATCAATGCGTTCGTCTAATTCTGATTTTTGGACCAACATTCCCTTGCAGGGTGTTTTGTGTTAGGATAACCTCTTATGTATGGGCCTACAGGTCTCTCCCAAATAGGCACTACCACATGAACACAAATCTTGTAACAGACTGATCTGGGGGGTGGTCCAAAGTATTCTCTAAAATAGGGCAATACTGAGGACAGTGTTATTTTTTCGTTATAAATGGTCCTGACATCCCACCTAAGCAATTCGCCTATCTTCTTCGGCAAATTAAACGGTGAAAGCATAATGATCCTGGTAGAGTGATTTATAATTTTATCTAGCCCCAAATAGCTATTTCACTTTATTCTATTTGGCAATATTATAAAATAGTTGTCGACTAGCCCTCCTGGATAATAATTCTCAACCAGAATTGCTTTTAGTCTCCTGAGTTCCTGGTCCAAATGTTTAACATATGCTAGATGCAGGATCCTTATTATCATAAACTTCATAACTCTTACTTTAACCCCGACCCTCTAAATCGTTTCGTCGGCATCATCAGTGAGTTTTGCCATTCTCCGCACCAAGCTAGGAACTCGTAAAAGAGACATGTGAAGTTAATACCTCGACAAACGTTCTGTCGAAAACGGTTACACTC